TTATATATTCTTTAAAATTATTTTATATTTCTTGTTGGTTCTGCTGCATACTTTGAGAGACACCTATAATAATTGCTTTTCCTTCCTGTGCCATTTCCTATTCTCTTTGAAAGCACGGTAATAACCATGTAAAACATAACGATGGTTCCAAGTCAGCTGTATGTTTACTTTGTGTAGTATGCATGCCATATCTGGACCCAAATTGTCCAGATGTCTAGAGAAATAAAGTCTTAGGCAAGGAATAAATCAAGCATGGCATATCAAAAAAGTGCAGAGACGCTCATGTTATCCTAGGCAATTTTGAAATTAGGAGGCAAAGAGAAGAGAATACCTTTTTTCTTCAGAAAAATCTTGTAGGATTTTTGTTTTCCCTTTTAACAAGGTAATATATCAAATAAGGCTTTAACTGTTTGTATAACACATCCTGTACTTGCAGGGTATTCAACAGCTTCCTAAAATTTAAGATAATAGGATGTAAGCTGTACACAGCCACAGGAGCACAGTATCCCCAAATAGAGTGATTTTTGGATCCATATGTGGGGCAGGAACTTACCTGGTTTTGCTACTGTGTAAATTGCAGTTAATGGCTGAAAGAACTAATCAAGTATCCTTGAAGGGAATGTTTCAGAGGGCTATCTATGAATATGCTTAATATAGATATCTGTAATAGCAGAAAACTCTCATGCAGGATTTATTCTGATCTCCTCCAAAATAGTCCATCCATTTTGCCCATCTTCAGAAAGGACTTGAAATTACATGTGTTTAAAATGGAAGCTTTGCTTATTCTTTGCTCCTCTATCTATTTTGCACTGTCTTGTGTAGTAAGGCAAGCTATCGTGGCCTCTTTCTTTTTGTAATAACCGCAGGGAGCAGTTCCATTTTGTGGCTACTTCAGAAGTATGTGCAGTTGGACCTTTGCCACTGGCGGCGTACTTTTAGTATGGCCATCGACATTTGCCTGGATCTCTGGCTTGCAGCATCTGCACAACCTCCCTTTTAAAAACAGAACATTTGTTTTTAAGTAAACTTTTACAGTTCTTCAGTAAATTGGGTTTTTACCCAAGTCTTCATATTCAAATCATCTGCTTCTCTTTTGTACGTTAAACTTCATTATGGGATTTTCCTCCCCCTCAAAGAAGATGCTTTTGTGGTTAAAATACATTACTGGATTTCAGGAAATCAAGAGTTCAGTTTCTGGTTCAACCACAAGTTTCCTGTGTGATTGCTTACTATCTCTGCCTTGGTTCCCCGCAGATGTGGTGATGATGTTTTATAAATTTGCAGGTTAGCAGGGCCCATCTTGATCATTTAATCTGATACTCTGCATAATGGAAATGAAAAAAATTAATTGCTTGCAGAAATTACAGGGTTTGTTTCTGCTGTAACATCTTGGAAGGTTTAATTTTGTTCAGGAATCCATTTCTTCTAGTGAAACATTCTCACCATTAAGAGTCTTCAGTGGTTAATTTTTTTTTTTCCTTATTATTTGGAGTTTCACTTAAAAGTTTGCTCTTTTTCCCAAAAGTAAAAGACTTGGTTAAGTAAAATTCTTAGACTAGCCAAGGCATTTCTTAATAGTTTTCCTTGGCTAAATTAAAGAGGTCCCTCAGTCAGTCAACCTGAGTGTTCAGCATAGCTGATTCTTTGGGTTAAGGAGGCACTAAATGGTTAGATTCACTGTGTGTGCATGGATCAACTGTACTGTGCATGCAAAATAGGACCGTATTTTCAGAATACCTTTATTATAAGGATTTATTCCTATTTGCTTCCAGAGTTAGTTGGCCAGGACTAGGTTTCTGCAGTTTAATGCAGAGACATTTTCTTTTCTAGAAATTGTTTGGAAAAGGCTGCTTTGAACTAGGCTTGGGGTGGTCACTTGTTGCCCTAAGGTTTTATTGCATGCGTGTGTAGCATCGCATGTGTGTCTTGAGCCAAAACCAGTTAATATGGTACAAACTTTTGCAAAGGGGTGTTCAGGGAAGTTGGCCAGTAGAAGCAGGCTGCTAACCACAAACTGAATACCCTTTCCGCGATGAGTTCTTTAGGCCTCGTATATTCATTCTGGATTTTTGTTCTGAACCCTTTTCACTGTTCAGTTTTGGCAGTCATAATTATATGCAAACAGTTTTGTCGATATAAAAACATGGTTACTGTTACCTTTCATTTTCGCTTAATGTTTTCCTCCTGTTTCAACAAGGAAGTTCCACTGAGAGCTCGTGTTCAGCTCCCACATCTGCTCATGGAAGGCTAATCTGAGCACTCCTTAGTCCTCTTTAGTCATACCTTAGTTTAAAATGCAGAAGAAACTGCATGTGTGTTAATCTTATTGACTTTGCTTTAAGCAGGTTAAGGACTACTCTGCAGCTCTGCCAACAAGAGGAATCATAAGGACAGTATGTTACGACACGACATAGTGGCAAGCATTGAGGCATCAACTCTACGCTCTAGGCTCTGCAACTAGCATGGGTTTTCTTCGTTGTGGTTTTTTTTTTAAGTCATTTTTCTGAGTTTTTACTTCAATGCAATTAGTAGTCTGCAATTTACTGAAGCTTCATTTGACTGTGTTAAAATGGAAGTTGTTCTACCTAAGTATATTTCTACACAATTCATGTTGTTTTTTGTGATTGATCTCTCACTCTCATTATTGATTGTTCCACTATGTTTTTGTCATCACAAAAGTTGTCTAAAATTACATTTTCTTTGAAATCACTTAATTGCTTATGAAGCTATAGAACAACACAGGGTTGCAAACAGAGTGATCCCTTTGATACTTGACTAGAAATACCTGTCGAATTTTACAATTTGCCCTGTGTGGGCTGTTCTGATTTTCCTCATCTCCCCTTTGAAATTCTCATTTATCAGAATGATAGGCAAGACAAAGCCATATGTCTTACAGAAGTCCTCTGCGTCAGCACAATTATTTTGTCAGCCCAAATAATGACCCCATTTAAAGAAGGTGTGGAGGCTGGGAACAGCCTATTTTCTCTAGAAGCAACTAGAGTGATGCTAATTATATACCTGTCTGTTATTTTCATATATGTTAATGACCGCAGAGACCTCACCAGCCAATTGTTTCTCAGTATTCCTGGATAGCTAGTTATAACTTTTGTTCTCTCGCTTGGTTTCATTTTCTTAAATAGCACTTCTTTTCCAACTGTCATGTTATTTTATTTTTGGAACACAGTCAGTACTAGGCTGGTAATGTTCTGATGTCTAGTAATACTTCAAGGTGTGTCTGCTTAATTCTAATAATTGCTTATTCTTATCCAAAAAACTGGCCTTAGTTCATCTTAAATTTCCTTCAAAATGCAGCCCCATTTACACCTTAGCTTAGCCTTGAAAATAGCTACAGAAACAGTACAGTATTCTGCTCTTATTCCACCCTGCACCGATTTCTGTATCATATCTCACAGTATGTATGTGCCTTCTAGGGACGTGTTAAGATACAAGGTATAATTTTTTTTCCTCTGCATTTAGGAAAATAATTACTTACCTGTGCAGTATATTGGATGGTTGCTAGAGGTGGCAAAGTAAGGAAAAGAGTAGCTTGCATCACAGCTGAAGATGATAAAGCTTGTAATAACCCTCAATTTCTCATAGTCTTAAGAAATAGAAGTGGGAGAGGCTACAGAAGTTGTCACTCTGTTGTTGCTCCTTCTTCTTTCTCCTTCCCAACAGAATCAACTTGATCTGAACTACTCTGACAAGTGTTGCCATCAGGATTCATTACACAGTATTCAGACAGACCTGTAGAAGTTCTCTCTCTTGCAAAGATAAAATTTTCTTTCATGGTAAAAAAATTTAGATTCGGGGGGGGGTTGACCTATTGATTTTAGCTCTAATTGTGATGCTTTTTGATCTTTTTTTCTGTCCCAGACCACTGAAACTTTTAACAAAGGCGTGAAACTTTTAGCAAAGGAGTAAAACTTTTATTTTGTGTGAGAAGACAATACAAAAAGCATATGAACATGTTTGGGATATTTAGGTAGCCTTGCTGCTGCACAGAAGAAAGGAATTGCTAATGCTGGGTTTTAAGATGAAAGCACTAGTAAAATCTCAAAAACATGAGCTTAAGCCAGACACTTGGGATTCACCTGAAAAACTTAAGTATGCATGTTTTGCGGGTTTTTTTAAATTCTCCAAATGTTATTTTCCATCTATACCCCTCTGCCCTTCCCCGCCCCGTTCTTATTTTTCCCTCTCTTATTCTTTCCCATCCTCTGGTTTTCACCTCTTCTAGTTCCCCCCCGCCCCAAGTTTCCTCTCCCTGCTTCTCTGTGTCCCCTTTTGCATTAATCCAGGTCCTTGGATTCTGTAGAGAAACTATATTTATTAGATAAGTTTAATAAAAAGTCATCCCCTTTCAAGTTAGTATGATGAACTGAACTGCAGAATCTGCAGCTTCATACAGTTGCGAGACCAGTAATTTGTTACTCATACCTGGGAATATTTTTCACTATTGTGTTTAGGAAACCACACAAATTTTTGTTTGAGTAGGTTGTCCCCTCTGTAGGCATATAGGCACTTTAGATATGAATATATATATATATTCATATATATGATATAATGTATATACACAGTACATCTATATACCTACACACACAGAGAGGCACACGCATTGTCATATGTGTATGTCTTTTAAGTAGCACTGGATGAATGCTGCCAGGAAACTTTACATTGTTTCTGCACTTCTAGATAAGGCTCTAAATTACCAGTGGCACAGGCTGTGCCTAAATCTAGAAATAATGGGAAATGGTAATAGCAAGCTGCCTCATAAATAAATAGTTGAAAGTGAAAGGAGGAAGGTAGATTGAGCAAGCAGTTCATGAGAAAGTATTCATTTCCAAAATGCAGCACAGAAAGAAGAAAACTGAACGGAGACCGAATCTTAGGCGTTCACTCTGTACATTAAGTTTAATGGTTCTATCAACGGCTTCATATGACAGGAAATGATCTGGGCGTTTTGTTCACTTATTCTGGATGCCCTTAGTTTCAGAGAGCAACTGGTAACATGGATTGCACCTCGGAAGGGGACAGCTGAACTCTCCCTCCGGCTTTAGTGAGGAAAGAGCAGCGATGAAATCCGTGGACTGTGTGCACGTCATCCAACAGAAGGATACCGCCTCCTCTCCCTCTGCCCCCCCTGGTGCTGCTTCAGGCACCACGGGACTTTTTTCTGTCACATTCCTGTGGCTTGCAATGCTCCTGTCCTCTTGTCTTGCAGCAGTGTCTCTTTACCATGTTATCACCCTGAAAACAGAGCTAGAAGCTCTGCACAGCAAGCTGATCTACAGGGTCCAGGCAAGGTCTCCGCTAGACCGGCCACCCGTGTCCCCTGAGGAAAACAAAGCGGGTACCCCTGTTTCTTCCTTCCTGCAAGTGTCTGCAGCTGGCGCCAGGCAGGTAAGCTGGAGGGTGGGTTTTGGCTTGCAGGGGATGAGCAAATGTGAAGCTGCTTTCACTGACTGTCGCTTCTCCCCGTTAGGAGAACAGGCTTCCTGGTCCTGGCCCAGCTGAAAGCTTCCAAAAGGAAATCTGGAACGGGAGCAGAAACAGGGGGAGAAGGTCTGTTGTCCACACAGACGAAACAGGTAAATAGCACCCGGCGCAGTGGGTTGGGATGCCACAGTTGGATACTGTCTTGAGAAAAGCAGCAGTACTCAACTCGTATCTTCTCCTGTCAGCCGGTCCGTGCTCCCAGAGCCTATTAAGGTTTTTACAATTATTGCTGAATGAATGGTGTTAACTGTAGGTATATTCTCTTCATGGTTACCATACTGTTTAAGGTACCAGATATTCATGCTATCCGCAGGTTGGACTTTGAACGTTAGATCCCAAATCTGTTTCTTGTAACGGAGGTATTTCTCGATGATGCGGTAGAGTTGAGTAAGGCAACTTTAAATTCTTCAGATTGTAAATTGCTCAATTGGAAATCCATCATTCTCAGTTCAGGGTAATGCCTAACTTGTTTCTCTCTGACCAATATTAGGGAGAGAGAGCTATTATTAAAAATGCCAAGTCATTTTTCTGGGAAAACATGCTCATCCTAAAAGAGAGAAGTAACAAGAAAGCTCCTTGACTTTAGGGAAGTAGGAGCTTTCAAAGAGAAAGGCTTGTACCTGTCAAAAGAGGCAGACTACAAGGAATTCAGAAGTTTAGCGTCATTTCTGCATTAAAACAGAGAGTGCTGCAGAGAGACAGTGCTCCATAAAAGACATCTGATGTGTATTATAATGTTGGAATATATTAACAGGCTATATTTGTTTCCTTTGGGGATAAAATGCCTACATTTTTTTCTTTTTCTCTTTCCAAACGTGATGATGCCTGATAGGATGAAATACAGAAATTTGTTATAACAATTTGCATACATACTCTAATTGCACCGAGTAACTAAAAATGTTCCTGAGTTGCTAAATCAGTTCAATCCTCTTATGGATACTTTCAGATTTTTTTAAATGATGAAAGCTGATATCTTAAATTATTAATAGATAAAGTTAAAATGGAATAATTTGTAGGTAAAGACTAAATCAGACTTTGCTTAAAATGTGCTTTTGATTGACTAATTAATGTGAAATGTATTCCACCTAAACTTCAGCAAGCTGAATGAAATTTAAGTTCTAGAGTATAATCACTCTACTTACCTCCAAGGCTCTCCAAGAGAATATTCATTTAGAACATCACCGAAAATCCATAGGTTTAAATGGGATTTATTCTATTTCATCAGTACTCTGCAAGTTATCAGTTCCCTTCAAAGTAGCTTTCATCCTTATTCTTACTGCTCTTTGAGGGTGTATGGGGGAGAGGAGGGTTTTGGGCTCCTCAGCTGTGCCTCTGGCAGACATAGGATTCTTCTCATCAGGTAGCCACCTCTGATTATACCTATTTATCTTTCTTTACACAAAATTCTAATTAAGCTACTTATTTCTGTAAGCTTTTTTTTTAAAGATACAGCTGGCTTTAAAATTCTTTAGGATGGATAACAGAAAGCACAGAATATGAACATCCATTTAAAAGGGAAAAGCTACATAGGTTGACCTCTACAAAACTGTTTTCTAACACGACCATCACATTTTTGTACACAGAAAAGAAAAACAGTAAATTACAAATCTTGCACTTATATAAAAGGTCATCTGTTAGACAGGATTACCTTTCTGCCTGCTCCAATTACAACAAATTAAACTTGTCAGAGTTCAGTAAGATGTTACATTTTCTCAGATCAGACTTCACTGACGACCATGAACCTACTAGTCAATGTTAAATTTTGTTTTAGCAGAGTGAGTGAAATAAGAGAACATGGTGGTGTTCATGGTGCTGAATCCTGTCTGTTAACTTGGTCACGTACACACAATTACTAGCCCTGCATTTTGATCTTCTCGCGTCCATTTCTGGGTACTGGAATCCCGACAGCCTCCAAATCGTCCTGCAGATGCACTGCACTCATTCTGGTATGATGGCAGATAAGTTAGGGTATTGAGTGAGATGCCTTGTTCTTGTTCTATTTCTGTTTGCTTCAACAAGGTCTCAAAGTAGACCCTGGTCTCATAATTAATTGTTGACCCATAATTTCACTTTAACATGGACCAATTCCTTAGAAAGTGAATACTGTCACTGATATACAATTGCTTCTCATCAGAGAGCAGAAGTAAAATATAGAACCATTATTTTGTTTATAAATGAAGTTGTGGTTTGATTCTGTTTTCTTTTTAAACTTTAATTATTAATTTCCAGAAATGGATGCCCCATGATTCTTTTTAGGCCCAGCACAGCCCTTTGTGATTATAGGAATTTCCATTTTAGTTTTTTTTTTCTATTTGCTTGACGTTGTGTACATAAAAGTGGCCATGAATTAGAATTTTAATTTAAATGACAATTGAATGAGCATGGATCTAAAACAATGTTGGCTTTTCATATTTTTATGGGGTCTGCATTTGTCTGTGTTCATACATAACATTATTAGTCATCAGTATTATATGTACATTTTGTGTCTTGAGAAAATTTCCAGCTCAAGTAGGTTGAAGAGATGGGTTTCAAGCATCAATTCCAAATACAGCTGTACAATTACCAGTCAGAGCCAGAGTTCTTGATACAATGAGTAGGAGTTAATGGGTGATTTTGAAAGGTACATATTATTAATATGCAGGCAGATCATCTAACCACTTCTGGCAAATGTCATATCAGGACACATAAGAACAGATAAAATTTTTCTTATTTGTCTTTCTTTTTATAAATTTTGCCTGTAGAGGAAAATTGCTACACAACAAAAACCTCTCCTGAATTTTATACCCCGGTCACAATTATTGATTGCCTTGCCTTTGTGTTTCTCTCGAAGATGTATGTGCGCTTGAGTCCAGGAACAAGATCTAGGTTCCATTACCTAAGCCAGTTCAATGTACGAATGTCAAGTTTCATTTACACACTCTCTCTGTGCCTCATTCTGATCATTATTGTGGGATTCTGATTGCTGTGGCCAACTAGGGAGGTGAGCATCAGGCCTTCTGTAAACTCAAATTCAGCCAATGTTCTGCTGGGATCAGATTGGAGCACCCATGGACTATATTTATTTTGGTGTACTGAGGCTATCCATCTCAACCAGTCCAATTGCGTGTATGGAAGGAACTGAGGAGAAATTCTAAGTAATTCCACAAAGTAGTGAAATAATAGGCTAACCTGGCATGTGAATTGGCAATTTTTTTTTACTAGTGGTTCCCAGGTTCTACCCCAATACCAGTTGTGTGCACCAATTGTGCAATATTGCCATGCAAGCGTGGAATATATGTTATGAGAATTTTGCAATCGTTCTTGGTGTAATTGCCTTACTGGCAAATTGGTACATTTGTTGGTTAGAAGTGTTTTGACTCTGTATGTTGTTGTTTTAAATCTCTGTGGCAGAGGGATAGCAAGAACTTTTACAAGTGGAACTTGACTTTAGCGATCTTTGAATCAAGAAACCTAACCTTTTGTTACTAGTCTAAACAAATGCCACATATAAAATTTCCTCACCAAATATTCAAATTACTTCTTATTTTATTATTTGAAGAGGGGAAATATGAGAGTTCTCATAATAAAAAAAAAGAAAGGCCTACTTCTTGAAAAGATGTTATTCTTTTTCGTTTCTGCTGACAACAGGCTAACTCAAAAGGAAGTACGCCCTTCTATGTGACAGGATAGAAAATTACTTGATACAATGCTTGCAATTTTACATGAAGAATTCCACTTACTGAATGAATGAATCAGTGTTGCGTATTATGCAGAACACTGTGCAATCAAAAATACGCAAAATAGTCTCTAATTTTTAAAAACAATATTCTGCTTTATATTGTACAATAGAAATCTACATAAAGTATTCTTAATTTTTAGTAAATTATTTCCTTGTTATTCTGATCGTAACATATTACTGGTAATTCTGTTAAGGTCAAAATAATGCCACCAATACTTTGAAGGTATTTGTTAGATCTGAGTCATATCCGTAACTACGATCAAGCCCTTTTAATGCAGGGACTGATTTAATTCATGATTAATGCCATATAAAGACTTCGTAATTAAAAAGTGCCAAATTAACCGGTCTATAAAAATGCACAAGCAAAAAGTAAAAGAAGATCTCTTGTGATGAGAAATAAAGAAGTTAAGGGAAGAACTGCAAATTTTTCAAGAACATGCATATAATTTATAAACTGAATTATCTAGTGTTTAAGTATGTTTCAGGAACTCTACAGAGAACAGATCTAGACCAAAGAAGGAACCTAAACAAGAAGGTCTGGTTTTAAAAGTTCAGGTTTTTTGCTTGTTTTTATTTCAGCAAAAATTTAAATAGATGTCTCAGGCCTCAGATATCGAAACTTAAAAATGTATGCATGACTTCACAGATAACACACTTGAAATTTTGTTTGGATGGATTATGAAGTTAGATTGCAAAATACTAAAATGATTACGCAAGTTAAATAATACAAAAACTTGCATGGGAGGGCAAATTTGATTTTACCAATATCAGGTCTTAAATTATGCAGCTATGCAGAAGGCTGCGTTCCTATCCCACTGCCAAAGCTAGCTTTTGTTTTAAGATTGTGGTTACATTGCTCAACCGGTGGAGAACACATCCCTTCATATGCTGGCTGTGGTTTATAAAGGCATCTGAAATCACTAACTTCTTCAGAATTGGCTGTTCTGTTCATCGAAGAAGAGAGATTCTGAAATGTTCTCCCCACCATCACCCTGCAGAGCGGTTAAAATCAGAAAAAAAAAAAAAAGCTCGTCAAAGCAAAGCTATTATATGAAGTTACAAGAGGACGGGGCACACTTTGTTGTTCTAGATACACTCTGTTTTATACAGCTAGACCTCATGGTGACACTCAGTCTAGATATTTTTACACATTTTTAAGACGTATTTTATGAATCCTGTATTCTGCTTGCATTATTAATTACTCAAAAATACTTTAGGCTACAAACCTGATGCTTTGATTTACACTGGGCTGAAGGGCATTCAGGTAAAGCTTTTGATTTATTTTGTTCAGTACTGATAGTAACTATTCAACCCATATTTTGTAATGCATATATTCTTGTTATTGTACCTCAGGTAAGATTTTGGTCCTTCTTGGAATAGAATTGCTAACATTTCTTAACAATGTTAACTTTTTACTGAAAATCCCTGTTAATTTACCCAGAAAATATACTCTGTATCTTCTCCTTAATAGTAGTGTTGTTTACTCTGATTTGTTTCAATGAATTACGTAATTTTAAGCATGTATGTAGTTCCACTGAGGTCAAAAAGAAGTGCTTGTATATACTGGAAATAGTTATGTGTCAGTCTTGGCTTCTGAACATTTTCTTGAAGCATGTTGTTGTTCAATCCCTCAAACAATTTTTTAGATATTATTTGTCCTTTGCAGCTTTAGGTAAAATGGCCAGTGTGCTAATTTCTGTTCTCTTTATTGTCATGAATGTCATGGCGACCAGGGCGGGCAAACAGGACGTGGCGCATCAGAAGGGCGTGGCGCGCGGTTGGCGCGGCAGTTCGGGCAGGCAGGGCCTGCGGGGAAGGCGAGCGGGCAGGGCGC